GCGTTGCTGTTGACCCCGTATTTCGGGGAATCTTTCACCCACAAGAGGCAGTGAATGTGAGGGGATCCGCGTTGTTGGAACTCTACCCTGAAGAAATAATCTTCCACTTCCCAAGAGGTTTACATGAAGAAAGTATAATATTTCTCAAGAAACTCTGAAACCGATTTTGAAAAAGTCTGGCAGTCATCACACAGTTTTCGCGTAGAATTTGACATTTTTCCAACCAATCGATTTCTGATGACAAACGCTTATCACCCCTTTGACGAAGCAAACAGTCAAAAACTTCCGGCCATCTCATTTCCGCGGACGAAAAAGAGCAAAACCAAGTCGGCAATCCAAGCTGGCGGACCATTGCCAATAGGTCTTTCTGCGCGGCCTGCCAGAATGCTGGTGCCCTCTGACAGGTCTTAAAAATTTGTATGCCTCATCTGATGTTAATAGTGACCGAATATATTTTCCATCTGTTATATCCTTAATAGTCATTTTTCGAATTGAAGAATCAGTTCCTTTGCGCAATGCAATTGAAATGTTTGATAAAATTTGATTGAGTTCACTCCTATACTGTGAGAAGAATATGTAATCTACGTTTTTCGAAAATCGATCATCAGCACTCATCAAACGACAATTAATATATCTCGATAAAGTAATTTGTTCGTCCCGAAATGCGCCAAAGGTCCCACGGCCTGAGGAAAGAGTGTTGGAAAAGCTTTGGCTTCATTTTTGTCATCCATCAATATTGAAATTGGGCGGTTCCCTTCAGCGGGAGCAATGCACAGAACGTCTTCGGAAATTTGGTCTAAAACTTCTTGAGCAATATCTACAGGTTGCAAGCAAGTGTCAAGAGTGGCATCTGATATAATAACATCTTCGGAAGGTGCCTCCAACAGTTCTTCATCTTCCTCCTCTTCACGTAGGTTTATGTCAGGATTCCAGATTTCGTTAAACGTTACATCAGTGTAAAAATCATTATTCTCTTTTAACCACATGATGGCGTCCCTTAGGTTACCTTTATCTGCAACTTGGTAATCATAGTAACCCTTGTATGAAAGTTTTCTTTTTAGTTTAATTGTCAACATTTGGTCATCCACTCTCACCCGTGGTAGGACGGTAACCGTTTTTTGGACATTGGAAGGTACACATATCACTGGACCATGAATTCCGTATTGGCGAGTTTTGGGCAACTGACTTATTTTCATGAAAGGAATATGTAGCGAGATTAGATGGCGCTCAATTGAGTTTAGTCTCGCTAACTCGGGCGGAACTTCCTCTACAAGCATGTTGTTGTCCCACGCTTTGACAGGAACTTTACCACTCTTGAGTTTGCTGCTACAAGTATGACATATCCAAATATTTCTTGCGTTAACAAATCCACAGGGCTTCGTGCAAAAAGTGTTACATTTGTGCTTATATTTTGTACTGATGTTCCCGCATTTATACTTATTTCTTTTGTATACGATAACGCTTTTACGGAAAAACAATCGAATGCATATGCAGCATACGCAATCTGGTCCAATTTTATCGACTTTCTGAATTTTTCAATAGAATTTTTAGCTGACATATCGCGTTTACTGCACCAGTATTTCTTTTGAGCTACGTTTCTGACACGTTGGTTATGTTTTGCATCAAATCTGTACATATTGGCACTCCTGGTTTTAACTTCCTGCCTGTGTAGTTCGTCAAGATCGTATTTCTTCACGCTTCTAGTTTTCATTCTCTCCCTGTGTTTTTCGTCATGTTTGTACTTCTTGACACTTCTGGCTTTCATTTGCTCCCTGTGTTTTTCGTCAAGTTTGTACTGCTTCACTTCTGTTTTCATTCTCTCCTGTGTTTTTCGTCAAGTTTGTACTTCTTGACACTTCTGGTTTCTTGCTCCTGTGTTTTTCGTCAAGTTTGTACTGCTTCACGCTTCTAGTTTTCATTCTCTCCCTGTGTTTTTTCGTCATGTTTGTATTTCTTGACACTTCTGGCTTTCATTTGCTCCCTGTGTTTTTCGTCAAGTTTGTACTGCTTCACGCTTCTAGTTTTCATTCTTCCCTGTGTTTTTCGTCATGTTTGTATGCTTGACACTTCTGGCTTTTTTGCTCCTGTGTTTTTCGTCAAGTTTGTACTGCTCAGCACTTCTGGTTTTTACTTGCTCCTGTGTTTTTCGTCAAGTTTGTACTGCTAGCACTTCTGTTTTTTTTGCTCCCTGTGTTTTTCGTCAAGTTTGTACTGCTTCAGCACTTCTGTTTTTTTGCTCCCTGTGTTTTTCGTCAAGTTTGTACTGCTCAGCACTTCTGGTTTTTACTTGCTTCCTGTGTTTTTCGTCAAGTTTGTACTGCTCAGCACTTCTGGTTTTTACTTGCTTCCTGTGTTTTTCGTCAAGTTTGTACTTCTGCTCAGCTCTTTCTGGTTTTTTACTTGCTTCCTGTATTTGTCATCAAGATTGGTACTTCTGAATATTGCTAGCTATTACCTTTTCTCTGTGTTGTACGTCAGTTTCGTATTTCTTTACGCTTCTTGTCTTTAATGCTTCTCTGTGGCTTTCATTATATTTATATTTTGCTGAGCTTCTCAAATTTGATTTTTTGTTGTAGTTTTGATCGGTTTTATACCTTCGCCTGCTACTTTTTTTCACATTCTCTCGATATTCTTCACATAATTCATAGCGCATATCGGCTTCACTCATACTTGATGTTGTTTGCTTTTCTATGTGTCCCACCTCATACCATTCGGTATTTCTCGTAACTTCGTGCTGAGTAACCATGGCCGGATCCCCCTCATCATCGCCATTCTGCCAACTCTTGACGTCCGTAACAATTTCATAATGATTTCCACCTTTGTTATTTAAATATATCGATCCCCTTGAATGCGTAACGTAATTGCGATTCAGTAACGCTCTGGAATACTTCAGCCACCTGTTTTCAAAATACGTGTATATGTCTAATGCCAGTAAGTCACAAGCAGAAAATATTTCCACTTCTGTTGCCCACGTGCCGTCATCAAACATCTTGGACTGTTTGATATAATTCTCAACCCCATCTTCCGCGTATTCATCGCGCAAAATATTTGAAAAGACGCATGGATTTTCTTCGATATTTTGCGCAATTGCTTGCCTAAGTTGTGCGTTATTGTGTTCAGTTCCGGACAGCTCATGAGATAACGCATTGAAAAAGCAATTTCCGTCTGCCTTGACTGAAACAACTTTTGCAGGTTCGTTCAGTCGTTCGTTGATTGGATTTTCATCTATTAACAATTCGATTTTCAATCCCAGTTTTTTACAAATGTCAAATCTTGTGGCATAGTTTAGTCTAGAAAAAAGCATCTCGTGTTGAGTACTTTTAACTTCTTGTACCACATCTGTGTCATTTCCAGCAACAACCTGGGTGATTTCGACGGCGACCATTTCAAACTGACAAGCAAAATCCTCCGAGGGCGAGATATTTCGGTGTAGTTTTTGAAGGTGACAATGAACGTCATCTAAACACCCAAATTCAAGCGTAATTGACGTGCCATTATAGCACACCATACCATCTCTATTACGAGAATGAGGATCAAAAACAAAGTACGTCGATTCGTCCTTGATTATTCCCAATGTGTTGCTGTTCAGCGTAAAGAGAGCACATACGCTGCTACTAAACGTCTCTGCAAGAGCATCTGCAAGCGACATTATGCCAACCATATGTTCGGACGGAGCTTCTGACGAACCAACAGCACCAGTTAATGGGCTCTGGTACTTTATTTCGTACAGTACGTCGTTCAACTCATAAGTTGAGGGCAACTCTGTGACCATGAGATAGTTGTCAATATAACCCAAAAAGTCTTGGACCCCACGATATAGTTTGTCGCCTTCTACGAGAATTTCATCCAAATCATTTGAACGCCATAAAGTTGCACGAGTATTGGCGTGCTTAATAAGCGCAATCAGGCAGTTTGCAATGCATTGTCGTCCACGGCTGGAGAAGTTAAATCTAGCATCAGACTGGCTGAATTCACCAGTAACCACCTTAAGAGCAAGGCGTTTACGCGCCATTTTCCAGTATCTTTTTCGTGGCATTTCTACGCACAATAATAGTTATACCGTATTAGTTAGCAACCAATTCCAGAAAGTGCTGTCAACAACGATTTCTGCAAAGGAATGAATTATTATCCTTTCGTCGATCGTCTTATCAAAGAGAGCGCTTATCGCGATGCGTTTTTTCCTCGCGTGTTTGCTTCTCTCGCTTACTGCGTCGTTAGCTTAATGTTACTATGAGTTCCGCGTTTTATTGCGGAGAGTAATCACTACGTGAATTAATAACATGCTTGAAAATGAAATTAGACGCTTTCTTAATATGAAATTGTTCCTGCTGTGGTTTACATTTTCGCCGTCTGAACGATAGTCAAAAAGATATTTACGCTTTTGCTTCTGTCATCCCCGAATAAAATAATAAAACTTCATTCTCGGTATTGTGTTGAATTTTAATTACATTATTTTTATTTTGTTAGGAGGTAGGCAGTTATGAACACGATCGATTAGCGCAAGTTGTTGAGTCAAAAATGAATTCACGGCGAATGTTGTCCGCGTAGTCTCTGCTATGTTTCCCCGTCAAATACGCGTCAATTTACGAACCCAGAAGAGTTACAGAGAAAAAGTTAACAATTAACTTCAGTGTTTATCTAGCTGCAACTCATTTTATTACAGGGCTGCATTACGCGGGAAGCCTGTTAAAGCTGCACGCAGCTCTAGTTATTGTTGATTTCATCAGCTCGTGACGATGAGGTCATTGTTGATGCGGAGGGAAAGTTTCTAGTGTTATTCCGTTAATAGCATCTAAAGACGAAGACAAATCAAATTTGATAATTTTGTTACAAATTTGTTAAAAATTTATTACATCAGTGCAAAAACTTTAAAACTAATTGAGTGCCTTGAGTTTATGGCGGTCGTTTAGCATTGTAGAAGAATAAATACCTAAAACTCAGAATTCGAAGTGCCGTCTGTACTTTGTCATACAAAACCTTTAATTTATCCACGTTTTCAGTTTTCAACTGGAGTTCTTGGAAAATTCAATGTAGCGTTACGTGTGGCAGCGGGATAGAAACGAGAACAAGGGAATGTCTGGATTCTAATAAATCAGTAGTATCGACTTCCAATTGTGTCGGGAAACCATACGAGAAGAAAACGTGCTCAATACAGTGTATAAGTGAGTATAAGCATCGGAAACAACCTTACTGAATTATTTACTTTTTGATTGAGCAGTTTGTATGCTTAAACGTAGTCAATTTTTTCGAGGTTTCAAAATATTGTAATGAGTGAGTTTAACAAGACATGTATTACAAATTAAATTGCACACATACCTGATTGATTTCTTATCGATCTAAATTAAATGACTGATAGCGGAAAAAATGACAGTCATCGGTGGTAAAACGTTAAATAAGCGATCCAGTGACCTCCACCCTCTATCTCGATGTGTACGATTTATTGAATGAATTCAACGTTTTGATTATTATTAGGTAGATCGCCATCAATTTACAAAATTAGTGATGAGCGTGGATTAAACATTGGACTTAGCGCGCTATTTTGCATATCATCACGACATTTGGTTTTATTGCGTTGCAATAGAATGAATGTACATACATTTTAAAATGATCGTCCTTCTTACAGCACACAGTTGGAGCACTTGGGCAACCAAATGTAGTGTTACATGCGGAAAGGGCATCGAAGCTCGGACAAGAGAATGTCGCGATTCAGTTGGAGAGGTTGTACCAACGTCTCGATGCAGCGGTAGATCGAGGAGTTGGGCGACATGCACCTTACCACGGTGTAAACGTGAGAATTTATTTTGGCGATTTCTGGAAGAAATTTTTCTCCGGATGGGAAAACGTGGTTTTAGAAAATTTCACATCAGACACTACGCAGAAATGCATGTGTACATTTGAAAAAATGTTCAGTATTATTAGTTAAAAATAGGTATTACTATCGCTAATATTAGAAATATTGCATTAGTGCTATTACAATTATCCATCGAACAACAAAAAAGCCAACAGATAATAATATTTGATCAATTTTCAAGATTATCACTGGGGTCTGTGGCACAACGAGTGTAGTGTTACCTGTGGGGCTGGTGTTATGACAAGAACGAGAAAATGCTTTGATGAGGACAATCAACCAATGAATAAAACGTCACTGTGTTTTCCAGGAAATAGAGACGAAATCGATAAATGTATTCTTGCTAAATGCGAAAGTAAGTTTGGAATAGTTTTCTCTATAACTTGGAATGTGTTAACTTTATTCCGCACTTGTGGTCACGATCGAAAACACCTCTTTCTATTTCAGCATTCAATTGGAGTTCTTGGAACACAAAATGCAGCGTGACATGTGGTAAAGGTGTTGAAACAAGAACTAGAAATTGTTTAAATGCGGGAAACAAAATTACGTCAGCATCAAATTGCGCTGGGAAAGAAAACTTGAAATCGATATGTTCTTTAGCAGATTGTCCAAGCAAGTAGTATTTTTGTTTTCACAGTTCATTACCGTCAAGCAACTATCCAAGTGAATATACGCGAATAATAACGTTATTCATTACCAGTGTCTGCACATAGCTTTCAGATTTATAACAAACAGTCTTGCCAAATCTGATCAATTTTTTATATTTGATCCTGGTCTGCATCAATAACATGGAACCGAGCCACAAGCCACAATCTTCTAAACTTAACTTAACGGCATAACTGAGCTAACGAGCCCATCTAACTTTATAGATATTATATATAACAATGTTTTTCCGGCAATATTTCAAAATTGCATATTTGGAAGATGGGCCATCAACTAAATCGTGTATTTAGTTGAATCATTTAAAATTCTGATGAGGACACTGTTGCCCCAGTTTCAGTAGTATACAGAGAATAAACAAAAAACTATATATATATATTTTAGTCTACAACTGGGGAGTTTGGACAAGCAAATGCAGCGTTACATGTGGTAATGGCATAGACACGAGGACAAGACAATGTTTGGATTCAAAGGATAAAGTTGTAAAAAGGAAAGAATGTGTTGGACGATCGATCAGAAAACAAAGATGTAGACTACCATCATGTCGAGGTAACTATTTTGTGGATAGACACAAGTAAAGTAAACGAACAATAAAAAATGTAAGGCAAGAAAAACAGGTTCATACCTGTGAAATTGTCGATTTGAAATAGTTAGATGAGCTGTGGGGTTTGCACGCGTATAACAGGTATGTGGGTTGAATCAGTAGCCCACTTTTCGTTTGACACTTAATCACAAGGTTCTGAAAACATTTCACTGAAAAGTTAAGCCAGCAGTAGTAATTGAAATGTATCTATTGGCAATAGTACTACAATGCCATTTCTGAAATTTTTTTAAGATAATCTACCGTCTTATGAACATGAAACTTTTATTCTTCGAATTCAACTTGGGTTTTTCATCGATAAATGTAATCCTTATATAAGATATATATATATACCAACTATTTTGTATTAATTCCTAAAGTTTTAAGTTATCACGCTGGCTCATGGGATCCGTGGCTCACCGGATCTTGTGGTGATCTAAACATACCATTAGATTATCACCTATAACATGTAATCATGCGTGGAAAAGCTGCATTATAATCAGTGGTTTGTGGCTCATTATCACAGACTTTAATTTATAATTGCGCGATAGTGATATTCAGAGGATTCGCCCATAAAATCAGACTTACCAAATGGATGGGGCTGGCGGGACTGACCGTATGGCAATAGTTTTCTCTTTTTGCGTAGGATGTTCACGAATGATATTGAAACATTTTTATATGATGCTATCTATATAAACGTTTAAAGGGGATTGATGCATCAGAGCGCAATTCCCTTCGCCAGTACTTTCACAAGTCGAAGACGTGCAAAAGACATTACAGCACATTCTATTGTTCACGATCGATACTGTCGCCTTTATCCAAGTCAGATTTAAACTCAAGTGCGTACTAATATATATTGGTTATAGGACTGGGCATTTCAAATCTAATGGTAATTATTCGAATCAGCCCCCCATATCGAATCGCCCCCCATCTCGTTTGTCGAGGTGAATTCTTCAATTTTGTATTGAAGCCCACATATTTGTATATGAATCGATTCTGACACGCTCTTTTTCGTAAGAGAGTTATTTATAAAACAAGTTCCTTATTATGTTTGAACGCTCAGCAAACTCACTGTGTGATGAATTCTATGTTTTCAGTCAGTTAGATGTCTGGAGGTCCCATTAGAATGAAAAAATCTTTTGTAATTAAATATCTTTCAAGATTCGATTCAGAAATCACCAGGTATTCGAAAATGCCCAACTCACGCTATTTTCGCCTTTTTGTCAAAAATTTCTCACACAAATGAATGCCTCCCAACCAGTCCCGCCATGTCGCAGACCAATACCAACAAGAGAAGTAGGTCTTGGAGAAACACGTCTGGTTGTGAAAACACATTGTGACGCAAAACAGTCACATTCTACTGTCGGTTGGTAGAAGACGAGATATTAATGACCGCTCGTGGCGACTTGAATATTTTCACAATTAATCGCGCCAAAATGGTTATCGTTTCGTATTTTGAAAATCCTTCAAGTTTTCACAATTAGCGATTAGTCAGTATTTTTCCGCCGACCTCCTCCCACTACTGAAAGAAATACAACTTTTCCCATTTAGTGTATCATTGGAGTACATGGACAGCCAAATGCAGTGTCACTTGTGGCAAGGGAATAGAAACAAGATCAAGAAATTGCTTGGATTCAAAGGATCTGATTGTATCTGCAACGAAATGCGTTGGGGAATCCAGAAAACGATATTCGTGCACTCGTAATGAATGCATATGTTAGTAAACACACTATGTGCAATTAAATAACAAAGATATTGGTGATATAATATCCTGCTTTTGTGAAAATGATTATATTTTCCCATCCCTTCCTACTTAGTGATTTATTCAAGTTGCCCTAAATCCGCTAATTCTTAACTTGGTTGAATAGACAAAAGAAAAACGCTCAGATATTTAAATGCGAAGGTTCATATATACATTTGCTATGCGTTTGCTTACGTGTCCCTGTCTTTCATTTTTTTTTTTGCCATTTTATATTTCCACTTATTATGCATTTTATTGCATTGACTTGCTTAAAATATGTTTACTTTGACGAATGAGGTTGACATCATGTCATGTAGCATTCGCCTCGGCACCGATTAACTGGTGGAGCCGAGCACAGAGTTCGCTGAACCAACGTGAAACAACTTCCCATAAAATAAGACGAAACAGGAACATTTTGTGTGAAATATCGGGTCCTACATGACTAGGGTCCAACACAAGTAATAGTCCTCTGGCAAGTTCTTTCATCCCAAAGTACTAAAATTCAGAGGATCAATTTTTTTCCAATAAAAACAATCACCTTAGCGACATAACGAACAATATCTAAGATTTAGTAAAATATTTCCGACTCCAATAACATGCAGTGAGAAAGTGAATACAAAGCATTTGTAAAATGGCCATCGTTTTGCATTACTCGGAAAAAATTTTCTAAGTCAAAAGTGTATACTCCGTTAAATTTTTTTTTCTAATTATTTCAATTGTAATTCGATGAAATGTTAATTTTTATATTTTAGCATATAACTGGAGTGTATGGGGATCAAAATGCAGTGTTACCTGTGGTACCGGAGTGGAAAGAAGAACCAGAAAATGCTTTGATTCAAACAAAAAACTCGTATCTTCGGTAAATTGTGTCGGTAAAGCAACTATAGTAGGATCATGTACGAAAAAGGCCTGCGTCTGTAAGAAATTTGTATTTAATTGAAAATATTTATTTTCTGGTTAGTTCGAGTCATTTGTATCTTCCTAACTTTATCTCTGAGGATAAAATATAATCCTATGCTTGCCTTGGGGACTTTACAGCATATAAATGGGGATCGTGGAAAACGAAATGCAGCGTAACTTGTGGAAAAGGTATTGAAATAAGCAAAAGAGATTGCTTGGACTCCAACGAAGCGCCAGTTCAAGAATCTCAATGTGGCAATGGTAGTCCTATCTTGCGGCGCAGTTGCATTCTTCCTGCATGCAAATCAGGTTTGTGACTGTTACTAACCAATGGCAATTTAGTCATAGATTTTAAAAGGGCGGCAAATAATAAAGTATTAAAATTTGCAGATGTAAAACAGAGTGAGAGCGGACTGTAATGTCGTAACTGGGTAATAATATATCGTTTCAAAAGCTATCGTGAAAATTCCGTGTCATATCAACTATTATAATTTGTATACTACCAGCAAATATTAGTTTGAAATTATCTGTTTCAAGAGTACCAATGGAGCACGTGGGATGCCCTGTGTAGTGTCACATGTGGAACTGGCGTCGAAACAAGAACACGAAAATGTTTGGGTAACAGAGGCAATGATGTATCTGCATCAAACTGTGTCGGTAAATCGCGACAGCTTGTTGTTTGCTATCGGCCATCATGTCAAAGTAAGTTTAAAACCAATGAAAAAATTGACACCATTAGCCGAGAGTGTGAAACGCTTTCCAACTAGATTGCAATAACATATTTCCATCACTTTTGTTGTGACAATTTATGTGAATATATGTGAACTCAGATAGATTAGATTACTTGATTAAAACGTTTGTGTATGTAACTATTTTACCCCAGTTATCTTAGGTTATCGGCTAATAGAAATCGATATTGTATTGGATTAGAAAATCAGTATTGTAGTAGGTGTATCAAATAGAAATATAAAACTCGATCTAATCGTCCTAAATTTTCAGCCTATAAATGGGGACCGTGGAAATCGGATTGTAGCGTGACGTGTGGAAGGGGTATTGACTCGGGACAAAGAGATTGTCTCGATTCCAAAGGAAATTCAGTTGATTCTTTTAGATGTAAACCTGGAACAAATCGCATGAGAGGAACTTGTAACTTAGGAGCTTGCAAACAACTTTGGGGTGTTGTGTCAGGTATTGTATTGTTACTCTATGAACTTATTTCTGCAATCTTATGTCCGTTTCATCGATTGTTCAAATCATTTTACTCGGCGGTAATATCAATTTGTTCACTACTGCTAACAACGAAAACACTTACCGTATTGGTGTTATAAATGAACTTGCATTTTATTGACTGACGGGTAGAATTAAGTACCCCAGATTGTAGTGAGCGAACTAACGATTTTGCAAATATCTCGTGGCATACACAAAGACGCTAATTGAAATGAGGAAAGAAAAAGTGATGGATTTACTGCAGTGCTGTTGTCATCTCCCTCAAAAGTGAATATTTTACGAGAAGGAACATGCAAGGGAATCTTTGGTACTAGGAAATTACACACAAACACTTGTACAGAAAAAATATGCCCCATCTTGCGACTGTTTTAGATTCTTCCTAAACGCACATATAGTTAAGGTATGTGGAGGTTATAGAATAGACACTTGGCTGCTGATGGTTAAAATTAGAAGACTCGAAATAGCTGTGCACAAGTAGCGAAGAGCATATTAATTCTTAACCCTCTTCATACATCTAATTTATTATTCATTTCTCTCTTTTTTACATTCACCCGCGGTCGACATTTTCACCAAAGAAACTTTTGTATTTTTCGAACGATTATTCAAGCATGCTCTTTGATTATGTAGATCCACATTACTGTTCGACATGATAATAATTTGTTTAAGTTTATTTATAACGAAAACAAGTACCAATATGACATCTTATTGCACCTAATAATAATAAAGATTTATGGATACGATATACCGTTCTTTTAACGCGAGTGGAACGTACGGTAACAACAACACTTTAGCGAAACGATCCATAGAATTACTTCATGTTTAATAAATATTTTCATCAGATTATAAATGGGTACTCGTGGACACATCCTGCTCGGTAACGTGCGGAAACGGGCAAGAACTTAAATTAAGAAAATGTACAAATTCCGCCGCAGAAACGGTCGAAGCAAGATTGTGTTCGGGTTCAAAATATGAAGTGGGAATTTGCTCTTTACAGGCATGCCCGTCAAGTAAGTGAAGCAAATATTTTTATCTATTAGATTGATTAAATATTGAAGTATTATTTGCAAATTGTTTGCGTCCAAGTTAGTCAGGTTCTTATTGTAACTGAAAAACGAAATTCAAGCTTGTGTTTAGGAGCCGGATACTATCAATGGAATATTGTACAAAGAACATAATTTACCATGATTAACTGGATTTTTTTTACCAAAAGCAAATTTTGAGGAATGCTCTGAAGTCGATAATTCTGAAAAATGATTGCTGTAAAACTATCTAGATAATTTTATAGCAGCTAACTTAATGTTACAACCGTAAAGTATCAAAGTTAGTTTCCTTCCTTTGATATTTTGATTTGCGATGTACCTATGCAATGTAGGACTAGTTTTTGTTTAGTTGAGGATGATTTTTATTCCAGAATTTTATTCGTTGCCTTCTGTCGGTTCATATGAATGGGACTCGTGGCAACCTTGGTCGAAATGCCGAGTTGGATCATCGGGTAACAGATTCAGGTCGTCCACAAGATATTGCTTGAAAAATAGACAGGTCAGATTTTGTCTCCTCTAGACATATTGACCCATCCATGTTTTAATTTTATTTTCATACGATGAAATGACGTCATTACACATTGCAAATGTTAAATTTTATAAAATCTATCTTTGTACGAACATTTCCATGAAAATGCTTTTGCCTGTTTACTG